CTCTCCCTCCCTCCCTCTTTCTTTCTCTTTCCTTTTTTCTTGCCTTTGTTCCTTTTCCCCTTTCCTTCCCCCCTTTGTCTCTCCCTCTTCCTTCCTTTTTTCCTTCTTCCTTTCTTCCCTCTTCTCTTTCTTTCCCCATCCCCTTCTTCTCCCTTCAAGTTTTTTTTCTTTCTCTTTTCTTTGCCTTTCTTCCTTCTTTCCTCCTTTCCTTCCTTCCTTCCTTCCTTCCTTCCTTCCTTCCTTCCTTCCTTCCTTCCTTCCTCTCCCTCCCTCCCTCCCGCCCTCCCTCCCCCTTCCTTCCTTCCTTCCTTCCTTCCTTCCTTCCTTCCTTCCTTCCTTCCTTCCTTTCCTTTCCTTTCCTTTCCTCTCCTCTCCTTTCCTTTTCATTCCTTCCTTCTTTGCGTAATTGGGCCCACAGGGAATTTGTCTCCGGTGCATAAGCTCTCAGTGTACGTACCGACACCAAAGCGATATCGGGAAACCTATGTCAGCTCCCAATCCTTTCTCCTTCTCCGCTGGGTTCCCCCGCCACTTACCTGATCCCCAGCTTCTTTGCTCAAGAGCCAGAGGGAAGAGAGCGCAATGCAGGTGATGTTGACCTGCGGGATGATCTTGAGGATGTCCTCCAGGGATGCAGTACCCTTGGTGGTGGGTGGTGGTCTCCTCATGGTCGGGGGCATGTTTGGCATCCAGGCACCAAAGTCAAACTGAGAGAGGAGACAGAGAGAGAGAGAGAGAGGCCAAGTGAATTGAGAGTTGCAATGCTCACTTTGCACCTTAAGAGCAGGTGTTCCTATAAATGTGATGATGTTCAGGGGGAAAACTGCATGATATTAAGACCGGCTATGCTTTCTCTGTCATGTCTTTGTCGTGGCCCGCTAGGGGCCAGTGGAGCTGGCGGCAGAGTCGGACAGTGAGGAGGCTGCTGGGGAGGAACATGAGGCCAGTCCTGGAGTCTGAGAAAGGCTCTGACGAGGGCTCTGCATCGGAGGCAGAGATGGGGCCAGGGCTGTCTGACATTTCCCTGCTGCCTGTGCAGTCGGAGATCAGTGGGGAAGAAGAACGGCTGGAGCCTGTTCCCAATTTGCGCATGCACAGAGCTGCCAGGAGAAGGGAACAGCTAAGAAACAAGGGTCGACTCAGGAGTAAGGGCAGAGGTGGGTGGTGAGTGGCCCCACCCAGAGGGAATAAAGAAGAGCGAAAGGGGAGTGGGGTTTGCAGGAGACAACTAGTTCAATTCATTAGGATGAAGATCTGTTCCTGACTCCTTGCCAAGTCATTGCGGCTACAGCCTGGCGTTTGGAAGATATCATCCTGGCAACTCTTCCAGCCTGATAAACGTCTGTCGTTGTGAAATCTCATGAAAGACTGTGTTTGCCGGGACTTTGCTGGAGAGGGAATTAATTCCCTTTAACCTAAATAAAAGGGGCTTTGTTGGGATGAGGAGTTGGCTTTGTGATTTTGGGAAGCCTAGGCCAGGACAGTCTTGTTGAAATTTGAGGCCCAAATGTTTCAGGTTTGAGACCACAAAGGAAGGGGAGAGGGTTGAAAATTGTCAGGACAGACACAATATTGGCGATAGAAGAAAATCTTTGTAGCTCAGGGTTGGATTATGGGTCCTTTTTGGTGATCGAGCAGGGTTGTTTTCCTGCAGACGTTTCATCATCCAACCAGGGAATATCAACAGTGCTGGAAAGGAGTGGGATTTGCGGAGAGAAGGAGGAAGGGGGGAGAGGAGGAGGAGGAAGAGAAGGAAGAAAAGGAAGAGGAGGAGGTAGGAGGAGTAGAAAAGGAGGAGGAGGAGGAAGCAGAAGAAGAAAAGGAAGAGAAGATGAGGAAGAAGAAACAGAAGAAGAGGAAGAGGAAGGAAGAAGAGAAGGAGGAAGAAGAAGAAACAGAAAAAGAGGAGGAAACAATACAGGGCTTTATTGGTCTCTGAGCTTGATAGTTTTCTTGCAGATGTTTCATGACCCAACTAGGAAAACATCATCAGTGCTAGAAGGGAGCGGGGTTTGCAGAGAGGAGGAGGAGGAGGACGGTGGGGACCTTGGTGCTCTCTAAGCTTGATGGTTGGTCTTCCAATATTTGAGGGGCTGCCCCCAAAGAGTGTGTGTGTGTGTGGGTGTGTTTCCATCTAGCCTCCAAAGTACCTGAAGGCCGAACAAGAAATAAACAGATGGAAACAAATCAACTTGGAAGTAAGGAGAAATTTTCTAACAGGGAGGACAACCTAATCAGTGGAACTTCAGAAGTTGTGGGTGCTTCCAGCACTGGAGGATTTAAAGAAAAAAATCGGACAATCACTTATCTGAAATGGTATGATGTCCTGGTTGAGGAGTGGGGTTGGATTAGAAGACCTCCAAAGTCCCTGCCAATTCTGTTATTCTGTTATTTTATTATCTAAGGTAGGATGGTTCTCACCTGCCCACTGTTGACAGCAGCATGTTGAGCTGAGCAGGTAAATATGACCATGGTTAGGAATTTGGTGAGCTCCTCTGCGGTCGCTAGAGTTGAGGGAGCCCCCGACGCCTCGCGGCTCTGGAATGCTTCCTTGAAGATCTCCGAAATCCAGGCCTGCAGCTCGGCATCTCCTCTGATCCGGTCATCGTTCCAGTAATAGTATTGGACGAAGCCCGCCATGAAACTGGAAGGACAAGGACACGAGTCAGAAGGTCTTCTGTCTGAGACAGCTGTCCACCAATTCGGACACGTTGGGCTTCAATTCCCAGAATCGCCCGTCAAAGGGCGAGAGAGTTAAGCCCATCCCAATAAGCGAAGAAAGAATTAATAGATCAGTGATGGCAAACCTTTTTGTTGTGGTGTGTCGAAAGCACGTGCGTGCAACAATCCCACCCTGCCCCCTTACCTGCACTGTGCATAGATGTCCCTCCCAGCTGATTGCAGGCTCGGGAGGCTGAAAAATGGGCCCGTTTCAGCACTTCCGGTATTTCCAGAAGGCCTGTTTTTCGGCCTCCCGAGGCTGCAGAGGCTTCCCTCGAGCCTCCGGGAGGGCGAAAAATGCCTCAAACAGGCTGAAAATCAACTGGGAGTCATGCGCATGTGCAATGCAGGGGCTTGCATGCCTGTAGACCCTCTGAAAGGAGGTTGGGTAGCTGAAGACCAAAATTGGTCTTCCTCAGCCAAGAAGAGTCACCTGCCTTTCTCTCAACCCCTGTTCCGATTTCGGATTGTGTTGACTGCTTCATTATTCTCTTTCCGGTCCTTCCCTCCAAGGCTAAGCCAGCCTTGACTGGGTTTAGAACAGGGGTGTGTGGATGGGCTGCTACCAGTTCGCACCGGTTTTCCCGAACCAGTTGCTAATGTTATCATTTTTCATGGCTGGCTTGGCAAACTGGCAAATCTCACCCCTGGCTGGCCCTTCTCCTCCCAGGAGTCTCCACATGGCCCATTTTGGATCCCAGAAAAGTACAGGGCTCAGGGAGGGCGAAAAATGGGCCTTCCAGAGGCTCTGGAAAGCTGGAAACAGGCCCTGTTTCCGCCCTGCAGAGGGCCTCGGGAGCCCGGGGAGGCCTTTTTCGCCGGGGAGGCCAAAAACAACCCCTGCCATGGTGCAGGAGTCTGACTAGGCCATGCACATTGTAGCCCCATGCCTACCCAGCCACCAGGCGGAGAACCGGTTGCAAAAATTTTTGAAGCCCTCCCCTGGTATAGAAGCTAGGAAGGTTTGAACCTGGTTCATCCATGGATCATGAAGTTCCCCAGAATGGACTTAAAAGCTCCAAAAAGGCCACATTCTGTAAGGCTCAGAGGCCTGAAAGTCATCAGGATTCAAACTCAGCTGGAGCGAGAAGTTCATTTGCTGCAGGTAATCCCCCCACTTACGATCCCAACGGAGCCCCAAATTTCCGTGGCTAAACAAAGCAGTTGTTCAAGAGAGCTTTGCGCTGTTTTATGGCTTTTCTTGCTGCAGTTGTTAAATGAATCCTTGCGCCAACCCATAAAATATTTCTCTAGTCTTTCTAGAGTTGTCAACAGAAAGGGAGGGGGGCGGCAGTGCAGCAGCTTGCAAAACCGAAAGTGCATTCCACAAATGTTTTCAAAGATGGTGACTAGGTGACTGAAGTTTCTGCCAAGCAAAGATCTAACTGGAGAGCATGATTGATGACCCTTGGCTATGGAGGTGTCCCATTGGAGGATATGAATTATGATACATCCGGGGGTGTGGGGAGAAGGGGAAACCAGGGTCAAGGGTGACAATGAATAATGTGTCTCAGAGTCGGCTACACCCAGGCAGCACCGGCATGTCTACTACTAATAAATCTCCTTTAAGTTTTGAAAATCCATCTAGAGACGCATGATTTAAATGATTTAAACTACCGGAGCCCTGACATCTTGCAGTAGTTAAGTTAGTCACACGGCTTGTAAGGGAATCTGACTTCTCCGTTGACTGCTTCTCAGAAGGTCGCAAAAGGGGGTGACGTGACTCCGGGGACACTATGAGGGTCACAAATAGGACCCAACTGGCAAGTACCCGAATTTTGATCCCATGACCCTGGGATAGTGCAACCGTGGGACACTTCATGAATACGAGCCAGTCGTCACGTGTCTGAATTTGAACCCGTGACCATAAAGATAGTACAATGGTCATGGGAAAAATGGTCATAAGTCACTGATTTTAAGTGCTGTTGTAACTCTGAGTGGTCATTAAATGAACTGTTGTAAGTCAAGGACTATCTGTACACGTTCCCTCTGGGTGGACCTGAACTAATATGAAAAGGGTTGAAGTAGGTTAGATTTGGATGGAAGGATATCAAGAAATACCAAGTTCTTATTTGGAAGAAAAAGACAATAGCAAGATGTTTAGACGTTGTGTTCCTATCGGAATACATTTGGTTGGAATGTATTTTATGTGCAACACCCACAGTTGTATTCTGCCAGTAGATGGCAGTGCTTACAAGTTTGGATCTATGGTGTACACTCTACGTTCTTTTGTACTAAGTAGAGTTTTCCTATTTCCTGATAACAGTTAAAACAGTTAAGCAGTAAAACACATGGTGACTGTACTCTTTGCTTGATCTGTGATGCTATAGATATATATAAATCGAATTTCTAATAATTCCCAAGAAAATTGTGTGGTTGACCATGGAGACTTCAGAGATGGTCTCCAGAAATCCAAGACCAGAACTCACCTCTCTATGGCAGCCCAGATCTTGGTGGCGTCATCTCGATAATAATAGTTGGCGAGAGACTCAACGCCACGATCCTTGATGTCCTCTGGCAGGCAGAGCGAAGAGTAGGTCAGTTGTTGCACCCCTCGGCTCACCAAGAAACCAACTCCTTCAAACCCGGCTGAGGTGGCCTGTAAGACAGAGACAATTGAGTCACTTATGGATAGTCCTCGACTCAAACTTTCTGTTGCGAAGCAAGATAGTCGTTCAGTGAGTTTTACCCCGTTTTATGGGGCAATTCTGAATCACTGGATCATTGCAGTTGTTAAGTGAGTCACACAGTCATTAATGAATCTGGATCCCACTGACTTTGCTTGTCAGAAGGTCACAAAAGGGGATCATGGGACACCCCCCCCCCGGGACACTGTGACCGTTGTAAATTCATGCCAGTTGCCAAGGACTTGAATTTTGATACATGGCTGCTGGGGACTATTGTAACTATAAGGACCATTTGTAAGTCACTTTGTCTGTGTCTGTCTGCCTGCCTGCCTGTCAATCATCTATCTATCTCCATTCATATCTCTACTGACCGACCTACCAACCTAGCCATCCATCCATCATCTATCAACCTCTATCCATATCTTTCTCTACTTACCTATCTATCTATCTATCTATCATCTATCTATCCATCCATCCAGCTAGCTCCATCCATATCTCTACCTACCTACCTATCAATCCATCCATCATCTATCAAGCTCTGTCCATCTCTCTCTACCCACTTATCCATCTATATCTATCCATCATCTATCTCTCTATCATCCATCCATCCATCCATCCAGCTAGCTCCATCCATATCTCAATCTATCCGTACCTACCTACCTACTTACCCATCCATCAATCTCCATCCATCTCTACTTACCTATCCAACCATATCTACCCATCGTTATCTATCTATCTATCTATCTATCTATCTATACCTACCTACCTATCATATCTCTCTCTCCATCCATCCATCCATCTGGCCAGCCACTGGTAGCTCCATCCATATTTCTACCTACCCCTCTAGCCATCCATCCATCCTTTATCAAGCTCCATCCATCTCTCTCTCTACGTATTCATCCATCTATTCATCCATCTATATCCATCCTATCTATCTATCTATCTATCTATCTATCTATCTATCTATCTATCTA